TCAGTATAATTCAAATACACTTTTGAAATAGAAGTATGGTCATTTACTGCTTCAATATTTTCACAGCACTGCTCCCGAACTGTTCAAAAAGTTTCAAAAACTTAGTGCGGACAGCTGCCAAGAATTAGTGATAATCACTTCACCTACGGTTCAACTCATCGAAAAGCATTAACGGCGCTATTTAGCTCAAGTGTTTCAGGTGTATTTCAACAGAATAAGCTTGCAAGTTTGAGTAGCGAGAAAATCGCAAAGAAATGTTTGGATTATTTATTAGGTTGATAACTGAGTTTTGCAACTACTTCGATAACTTCCGTCTTTTTCAACATGGCGCACTCAAATTGCCATTATGTGGATCAATGATGTAAGCTACAAAAGCAGCTGCTCTCCTGTCAAATTCTGACATCACAGTAAGTATTGCGTCAGGTATATGTACAAGGGGAGTAATTATAAAATTTCACAGATTTAGCTGAAACTTAGCATAAAGGCGTTATTCGACATACTAACCACGAAAAAATACTGAATTTGCATGGTAAGGGCTTCTTTGTAAGATCACTTATAGGTTTACGATTTGAGGTATCACTTTAATCAAGTAAAAAGGCATTGATTCATTGAGTGGGCATGATATTCGTTAGGTCAAATAACCCCAATACGCAAAGTCAAATCTTGCGTACAGGAGCTCTTGCAACTTTGTGAGGAGTATCTTCAACTTTTAACCCTTTTTATTGGGTCAAATAAATCTTTAACCATAATTTACACACAATTTTGGATCATTTTGCATAGTTAGGTTGCTAACGGCTTAATTTTAACCCCAATATTTCTCGGAATTCATTTTTCGAAAAACGCTTCTAGATTTCTGATTCGTTTTCAAAATTTACGTAGTTTGTGCACATTTGTAGAATTCATTACATTGTCTACATACACTTAAGTGCGCAAAATCCAAAGAGAGTAAAGTTATGAAGAGAGTTACAAAAATTAGTTTTAAAATTAATACTCAATTAAGGAAATTACCTACTTATATATAGTCGCCCTCACCCCACCAGTCGGTCAGTGCACAGATTCGAATTCGAATAAGAGCAGGCCAGTGGCGGCAGAGCGCGACACCTTAACCGTCAGCTTTGGTTTCTCGCATGTTTCTTTATGGTTATTTATTTGTAGTTGTTTGTTGATCTTCGTGTTATGAGCATGTTCGTCTTCAAAATACTAGTTTATTGTTGTCGAGCATTGTTTTGTACTGCTATGCTCGTTACTTCAATTCTGAATACAAGTTTTTACAGAAACAATTAGAAACCTCCGCTGTAAATCTTTTTCTTTTGTAAGTAACACGTGCAGAAGTGTTGATTTAGTGATTAGTGTTACAAAAATTTGCCATCTATATCTTTCTGAAAGCTCAAAGAAAATCACCTAAACGAAAACGAGCATAACTGCAAACAACACTAAAAAAATAACAAAACGCAAATTTGACTAGAAACATTGGCATAGTGCATAAATTAACAAGCAACGGTGTAAAAAAACTAAAAAGACATATGCGTAGTTTTGAACTGAGGGTTTGAGTGCCGTGCTCTGCCGCGACCGGCCTGCTCCAGTTTGAATTTGAATTCATCCACTGAGCCGACTAGTGGGGTGACGGCCACTATACAAGTATTCTTCATCAAAGCTAATAATACTGGTAGGGCAGTTTCCTTTATGCCCTTATAGGCACCGTCTACCCTAAGTCAGAGGTCTTGACTTCTGACTATAGTTTACTATAGTAGGACCCCTTATCAGACCGATGCCCAACTTACGGCGCAAAATGTCGCAGCGAGAAAATCGCGTCGGAATAGCGAAGAGGCATGAGGACCCAAGCCAGCACCGTTCCTTCACCATGCATGCCCATCCGTGCGCTCCCATCCAATCACCGTTGCGGAGAACCGGCCTGCGGGTTCTCCAGAACGGCGATTGTGGGTTTTCGCGAATTCGCGACTTCAAATTTGGAAACAGGGACATAAGAAGTCCCCGGGAATGACAAAACATGGAAGTCGAGAATTTGGATGGACGGTGCCTTTAACAGCAGTTCCCTGAAATGCTTTGAAGGAAAAGTTGAAACAACAAGGAAAACTTAATCTAGATTTAAGCATGTTTTATGTGACAATAGCAGAAATGTACAATAGTCGCAATGATCTAAAACAGAACTACAATCGCCGATATTACCACTTTACAGGGTGGTCGATAAGTATGGGCGTTACGACATGTTATATATATTTTTTCTGGAATAATCTACCATGGCGGCTAATATGCGTGTAGCTTACGGATAGTCTTTATATTAAGATAAGCGAAAACCAAGCGAACTGAAGTCTTCTGATGCAAACGGGTCTCCTAAGTCTACTTTCTCTTGAGAGGTGCTGCGGCGCGTTCAGTTAACACCATATTTACAGCACCGTGTCTTTGTTAAAGAGGAGAATAATTTGCTGTTACTTCACTGTCTTATTCCTCGGACTGTGCTCTACAAAACCTCAGATCTTATAATCTACTCGATTAATAATCAGGTTATTTCAACGGATTTGCAATGGGTACATTCTTCAAGTAGCATTTTTGACGCATAAACTTCAAGATAAGCTGTTGAAGTCTGTTTGCATGCTCAGGAGTCCAGTCTTGCAGGATAACACACTAAGGGCCGCATGCACTAACATCCCCGCAGGGAGGGGATCGCAGCTTAAAAGAAAGCCCTATATTTCGAAACTCCAGATATCTGGATTTCACGTTGTGTACCTATCCGTAAGTATTCCTACTACCCTTCACTATGAACATGTTGAAGAGGAGCGAGAAGCTGTACGAACCGCATTTTCCAGCTTTTGTATGATCCCTGATGATCCCCGGCGCTTTTCTTTAAAGTCATTTTCCTTTCTCCAAAGTTAACGAATAGCCTCCAAAGTTGTGCAGATTATCTAACCCGACAGTGCTTAGCATGTTGCTGATAAGAACAAATGATGTTTTGAAGTCATGAAATTTTCGATGATCCATAGGTCGAAATTTGAGGTTTACCGAAAAATTCGACATTTCAAAAACTCATTTGTTCTCATCAGCAACATGCTTGGCACTGTTGTGTTAGATGTTCAGTACAACTTTGGAAGGTTTTCGTTAACTTCGGAGCAAGAAAAATGACTTTAAAGAAAAGCGCCGGGGATCATCAGGGATCATACAAAAGCTGGAAAGTGCGGTTCGTACAGCTTCTCGCTCCTCTTCAACATGTTCATAGTGAAGGACAGTAGGAATACTTACGGATAGGTACACAACGTGAAATCCAGGTATCTGGAGTTTCGAAATATAAAGCTTTCTTTTAAGCTGCGATCCCCTCCCCGCGGAGATGTTAGTGCATGCGGCCCTAAGATGCCTGTGTTTCTGGCGTGCAAAAATAGTCTTACAGTCTTACAAAAATAGTCTTTGTTTGTTATGAAAAATCTTTGGACGAAAAATGTGACGCCCATACTTTTCGGCCACCCTGTAAATCAGGACGCACACGTTCTTTTTCCATATATTTTTCGAATGTAATCTTTTTAGAATAAAAAAAACAGCTTTACGACAGACAGTTTTTGCTAGCGATAGACACATCCTCTATTAACAGCAAATGAAGCTCCCCGTTCATCTGAAGAGAAATATAGTCAAAAGTCGAATGCATCAAGTCACTGGGCATGCATTGCAAGCACTTTCTTGATGACACAAACATGGGCCCTCCAGAGTGTTGGAGCTGTGCCGGCGCTGAAAGCACGGACTAGCATCGCACAGCGATACCGGAGGTTTCAAAAGAGAGACTTCGATCAACACCCGATGCAGTTACGCAGCTGAGAACGAGGTCAGTTAGCCCCGCCCCCAATGATATGCACGTGTATTGATCGAGATAGCACGGCGCTTAATCGGCACTAGGTCGCGCAAGAGATTAACACGTTTCGGACCGCGAAATCGCGCGCGGCGAAAAAGAGTGTACTTTCAGCCGTTAGCCTATAAAGGGACCTTATTTCGCAGCCTGTGGGCCACATTTGTAATCAGCATGTCAGATAAGCTCCATATCCAAAGTTCTGAGTGAATTCGAAGTGTTTGAATTTTGTCGCTTGAGAGAGACTTTTGTGCTTTCTTGAAAGATAGGAACAAAAACTCAGATTCTAATAGTATTCAAAATCTATGTTGTACACGGCACACATCAGTATTGAAACTACGGTTTTCCTCTTTGATAGCGAAGCAAAGGAAAGTTGCGACGTCGCACGCGTCGTTCGCGTCGCCGCACTTCGTTGCAACTGTTGTTCGATTTGTGCTCATAAGAGCTTGGCTCTCCTAAACAAATATCGGCGGCACAACTCTACAGAGTGATTTGAGAAGTAGGAGGTTAGACCTTTAACTTAACAACTTTAGACTAAAAGGAAACCTCCTGCAAACGCCAGAAAGATCCCTCAAAGCAGCGTGCTGCACCATGTGCAGCACCGGTCCGAAACGTGTTAAAGGCCTTCCACAAAGCACAAAAATTCCATAAATAGACATAATAGTACATAGCCATAAGTGAAAGGCCTCTATTCAGTCCCCAGGTGGCCTTAACTTGACCTCAGAGCTTCTGAGGTTACTTTTAGATCGCTGTGTACCGGAAGAGAGCAGAGCTCAGCTAGTATACGGTCTGCATATCAAGCAGTCACTAATTGTTTAGGTAAGCTGTAGTTTAATCCTTCTTATAACTTTATAGTCCTTGCTTTGCCCCACATTGGACATCTTTTGAGTAAAAGATAAGCAGTTCTGATAGCAATCGCACGAAAATACAGCGAGGTCGAGATAATGGATGACTATGATGATAATGGTTGGACAATAATGTGTAAATTACCATAATTACCATTTGCTCAAATCACAGAAGCCATTTTTTTGTTGAGTCGCGTTTTGTTACTTGAATGTTTATTAGTACTTTGAAAGTGCAGCAGGACCACATGATTTGTCCTATTCTTGTTGAAGATGTTGTATTTTCAACTTCCGAAGTAAGTTTCAACATATCTATGTTAAAAAATGTTTACTTGACAAATCATTGCTCACAAGCATTCTTTTCTAATATGACATAAACAGACAAACGAAACATCAGCACAAATACTATCAATCCAAATTTATTTCGCCAGTACTCAATTTCGGCTTCCTACTTGCCGTGTTGACCAATGAAGGATAAGCAGGTTTCGGAGCTGGTGTGGGCTTCACGTTGTACAGGTCATCAATGGATGGTTTCGGTTTCTCCAAAGAATTTGGCGGAATTGTTTCACCCTTTCTGTACTCGGTACCGCTGCAAATCTCTAATTTTCAATAAATAACACATCATACAATAAAACTGCATGCGTGAAAGAAAAATAATCAAGACATTAGATATTGCAAAATTGTGGCTGAAGATCTTACTCAGATTTCCATTCGTTACAGCCGTCAAATTGGCAGCAACAGAAAGTCTCATGAGCCGATTGCCAGTGACATCCAGTCATCTGAATTATCGTGATTTTTCATGTACCATGCATTTTTGAAAGAGGCTTTTTCCAGTTTCCGAGCCTCCGAAAATCGTTAAGATGAGACTTCATTGTAAGGTCTTTCTTTTCATATAACCAGCGCATACAGATTTTCTCTTAGCAAAGACTCACAACGGCAAGATGATAAAACGAACAGGAGAGAGAAATGACTACCCACAGCTTACAAGGAATGGATACTTGGTCGAAGTGGCGTTTCCATACATAATGTATACTGTCTTATAGAGCATGGTATGCTTATTTCAAATCTGCTTTCCAAATCTGCAAAGCACTTCTGGGAGGGAAGTTCTGGGAATTTAGAAATAAAAATTCAGTGATTTGGCTAAGATAAAAATAGATGTTGGGGTCCTTCCGGTGTTTGAAAGGAGTAACTGACATAAGTTTATTGGATTTGAAATCTTTGTTCTGTATAAAACGCCTATGTAGTAATCATGGCCCCATCTGAGCTCACGGATCTGCAAAACTCTTCTGGGAGGGGAATTATGGCAATTCTTCAGTGCAAAGATTCGAAAGCGCCGCAATAAAATCTATGAGAGCCTTAGTCCGCGAGCTCAGATGGGGCTATGATTACTACATAGGCGTTTTATACAGAACAAAGACCTCAAATCAATAAACTTATGTCAGCGTTACTCCTTTCAAACACCGGAAGGACCTCAACATCTATTTTTATCTTAGCCAAATCATTGAATTTTTATCTCAAAAAATTCCCAGAACTCCCCTCCCAGAAGCGCTTTGCAGATTTGGAAAGCAGATTTGGAATCAGCGTTCCATGCTCTATAAGATAGTGTACATCTCATATGAAAACGCCATTTCGACCAAGTATCCTTCCCTTGTTAGAACAATTATGCACAGTAGAGAACGGAGGAGCTGAACCATAGCCACGAAAGTATGCGAAGTGCAGGACTACACATAAACGCATAAGACATTGTTATGGATGAAATTAATGGTGATATGCTCAAGCAAATCGAGTTGAGACGCGATATCTTTGAACTAGCCGTTACGCACTTTTGAGCACAAATGAAGAGAAGAAGCACGCTTTTAGATTCAGTCTTTTCGGGATGGTAGGACTGTGAAGAAATTCAAGCAAAAAAATTTACTATGAATTTTGCATAATGGAGCACGTTCATATATGTCGCTGTAATACATTGTACCACATTTCCGTGAAGCAGATAAGCATCGAGAAGTTAGGTAAAAAGCCTTGCACTAACTCCATCTCAGTAAAACTGAAGATTTGAGAAAAAGTAAAAAATATCTAATCAATTTGTTGCTTTCGAGTTATACCTCAAGTCATGAATTAGATGTTTTGTATACTATACAACAAAAATGTAGAGCACGCTCTTCCGCTTACCGGACATTTCTCTTCCATGTTGTGTTCGTCGGCAAATGAGCTACATTCTCGTATTATCTGATTCTTCTTTTTGTCGATCTTTTGAACGCAGTAGTTTGACATCGGACTGCAGTGCTGTAACAGGCATAACATGAAACTGCGGAATAAAATGAGCAAAACATTGTTTAGATGCTTTTGGGAGTGCTTATGAAAGATTTTCCAGTATTTTTGTAAATTATTAGAAAAACCTATGGCAAGCTTGTCATATATATTGGGTTGATGCAAAATAGGCCGATCGTCCAAGGCTTTTTTTAAGGGTAACTTTTCCATCAAATTCTTTTCGAATTATGTGGATGTAGCATGCCGTTGAAAAGCTGTTTTGATACTCTATCTAAGTTTGGTTTAAGCGGGCTTCCGCCCTCATCTGTCATAGAGTTATTGGGCTTCAAATAATCGCATCCAAGACCAGAATCTCATTGTCTTTACTTTTCTGGCCAGATTTTAAGCGCGTACGAATGGAAAATTTAGCTATTGTATGTAATAAAATGTCTACATTATGCATACTTGAATGTATTTTCTCTGAAGTTATCCAGACTGAGATATCGGCGCATGGGTAGCCGTTGCGGCCATTTTATGGCCCATAAATTCCTTTCAAAAAGTCAATTGCCATGACTTTGCTCAATTCTCTAAGCGTAAGGCTAGGGCATTTTGTTAACAGTTTTTCAAAAAGATCCAGCTGTTCGGTACGCAGAAAATTCAAAATTCATATTCGGGACTTTGAGGCATATTGAAAAAAGGTTTGAAAAAACCTACAATTTTAAATTTTAATTTTTTTTCCTCTCCGCAAACTTTTTGTTCAAACTCTTTTCACTGTATTTTATGCTACTGATTGCGACTACCAGATAGGACACTTATCATCCATACTAACAAATTCAAAGGAAGTTGTTTCAAAAACAAGGTTTAAAAAAACCCTTATTATAAATTGAACGCTCTCTTATCTTCAAACCTGGGCACGTCCTGTAGAAGACCAAGACCATGTTCAGACCTCTGAAGAAGGAGAACCAACACGCCGAAACGTCAGGTCTACTAATAAAGACACACCGACAAACCTGGTTTGGCAAACGACACTGACACTATAAACCTTTTTTGTTTTTCAATCCATGTATGTGATGTGAGTACAAGTAAATGTGCGCTGTATTGCAGAAGTTTGCTGCTTCTGACAGTCTTTATCGCATTCAAAAATGTGGATTGTTCAAAAAAGTTGTAGCATGTCAACGTGTAAATTAGCAAAATGGCCATTATTTTTGCATGAATCCAATAACTCTAAAATCAAGATTTTATTTATGGTTATTAGTGGACATACAAAAAGTTTGGAATGTATTTTGTGTTTGTCTCACCTTTTCTTCGACTCTTGTGTTGTTTTCAAGACCTTGCAGAATTCCTTCGTAGCACGTCAAAGAATATGTTGTAGTCGCAAACGCCAATACGAGCAAGAAAGTGTACATCCTGTTTATTTGTAGTAGAAAGTGATAACCCGAGAAATTTGAAAGATAGAAGCGTACATATACCTAGTACGCAGTAGCGTACTCGTACCGAAGGGAGAAAGGGAGGGAGGGGGGTGCGCCCCTTTCGAGAATGGGTCGCGAAATCTTTGAAAGTTACTTACGTGAGTTATAAAAATGTGCAAGTGACTTGTTCATGCTTGTAAATAACTAGACAAATTTTTATTTTTGTTTGTCGCCTCCCCCCCCCCCAACGGAAATCCTGGGTACGCCACTGCTAATAGGATATTGTATTGAGCGTAATACATACGGAAGGAATACATTTAGAAGTGTTCAGTAATACTACAGCTAAGTTTCGCTTATCCACGATTTTCGCTCACAAAAAACGTTGTTTTGTAGAGACAACTTGAGACCAGATACCGGTGTTTTAGAAACAAGCAAAAAGTGCTGTTAAAGCAAGAACGTGAATTAAGGGTTGGTGGTAAGTAGATAAAAACTTTGCAGAGCTAAAATGTGCAAATAACGTGCGCAGCCAGGAAGTTGAAAGTAATCATATTATGTTTTTTTGAAAAGAGTAACACTATTTAACTTCGAAACTTGCACGGCTTGCACTTTCTACATCAATGATATATGTATTGCGTAACTCAATCTAACCTAATCTAGAAGCGGGAATTGGAAAAAGCTTATAAGAGAGTTACACAAATGTCATGGCTGCAAAATCAAAGAATCCCTAATCAGGAGCATGTGTAGATATACCTTCTAGAAGATTGTTTGTTATAAAAACATTCACAAGCTCCTTGAAGGTTCGCGCAATGTTCACGAGTTGTAAAACTACAAACTAGTATTTGAGTCATAAGCCAGAATTACCCCAAGCATTTTGAGTCCTAGTGCAGTTGCAGTGCTAAAATATAAGGAATATGCTATGTAGTTTTTTGTATAAGGGAAGCAGGAGAGATTTTAGGTGTTTTGCTGTACTAAATACTAGAGAAATGTGTCAGAATCAAGATTTTGCATTGAACGCTAAACGTAATCGAATTCTAATTCTAATCTAATTCGCGATGTACATAATGTCCAGAAAACATCAGATTGAGAGTGCTTTTTGAGAAAATTCCGAGAAGTTCGTGATCCCGAACTCAACTTGAGAGAAATAACAAAGTGGAGTTCTTTTTTGTAGAACTTCTTTTTTACTGAATGTTACTCATTGAATCAATTTTAAATTGTCTTGTATGCAAATGATTAATACGAAAAAATTAGCTGATGCCAGGAACGTCAAAAAGCTAATCTTCAGAACTGCGAAATTGATCGGATAGATAGACACATGTGATGCACCAAGCATCGTTGTTACAATGGCTGCAGTGAAGAGATTTTGAACAGAAAAACAAGCCATGAACTTTGACGAGGGCATGTGCTGGAAGAAGCGCTGACAACTGATTTTGAGATATCTTGACCAATAATTTGACTAATTAAATATTCATTCGCTCGGAGTTGTTCGGCTTCTTAATGTATGCTCCCGAACAGTTCATAAGCTTGAACTTGAAAATAAGTGCGTTAACAGATGAATACATTTTTTACTTTTGTCTCGATTTTATACACTTTTATCAGCGATAAAAATCTGTACTGTACATTATAGACAATATGTAATGATCAGCGGCGCAGGTCCCTGCACATCCGTTCCATCGCAAAAAGGCGAGATTTGAACCTGCTTGATTTTTTCTGTAAACCATTTGATTTGATATATCGCTGTTAAGACGAACACATTCTTGACCTCACCTTGAACTTCTCATAGTTCTCATCTACGCTCTCCTCTAGCAAATTTATTACACTTCGCATTGCTATCAAACGCTCCTCTAGAGTCGACTCCTCATACATTTCGCAATCCAAACAACAGTTTTCTTCAATCAAGTCCCCAGCCTGAGACTGTAGATATTCAGCTGAACAACAACAGTATGAGGAATACCAAAATAAACTTCCGGACAAGTGATTGATACCTTTGACACGAATGTTCTCGCGGCATTTGGGATAGTCTCGCCATATACGAAGAAGATCGTCACGAAATAGAATGTAGACCTAAAACGCATGCACAAATATGGTACCAGTGTAGCTGTGTTAGCTTCAGAATAACGGGCTTTATGGCCTAAGAGCTTATAGAACGAAATTGGAGAGGAGTGGAGGAAATAAGTGCGAAGAGTATGGGTAATCCAGTTTCGTCTCGATCAAAGAAATAGAGGATGTGCACAATTTTTTGGTGAAGGTAATACCTTCGAAGAGAAAATTGATATTATTTACATTAATCATTATCATGCTTATACAATTTAGTCACTTGTTCGATCTTGCATTGATTTGTCATCAACTTATCAAGGCCGATTTTGCTCGAAGGCAGAAGCTTCTATTCTTTTGGAATTCCATCTCTGCAATGCACTCTGCTCATTACTACCAAAACAATGGCTCGGCATAGCTGGTAGGTTTGAATTTAAGAAAAAAGCAGAATTTCTTTTTTTGCAAGGTTTGGAGCATCGCCCCGGGAAAGACTACGAATCATGCACCAATTTTGAGTTCTCTTTACAGACATGGTCACCAGTTTGTGCAAGATGAGAGGAAACGCTTACATTCTGACCGGTAAAACACAGGGTAGACTCAGCTTCATCCGAAGTAAAGAAAATGTTTCGTATGAATGAAAATTATGGCAGATTCTTTCCAAAATTAGCCGGCATCATGTCAACATGCCATCTAAGTTGGCAATGATCTTCTGCTCACGTGATTTTTCGACTTTTTTGTACATATCTGATCTTCTGAAATTATAGTACTAAAACGATGAATCAATTTCATAACCCCTCCTCTAAGTTAGTTCCTAAAAATTTTCAAGGGTGGAGCAGTCCTGCTGCGAACCACCAATGCAACCGCGAACATTTCAATTTGGGCCCGTATGCACGTACATCCCCACGGGATTTCGCTACTCTGTATACCTTTCTTCTTCATTCCTTATCTGTGACATGAAGGTTCTCATACCCTGATACCCACGCATAATAGACGCCAGGTTACTGCCATACAAGTTTAGATTTTTTCACTTTTATTTTCTTCAAAATGAGAGGTGATCCCCTGGGGATCCCTAAAGTTGTACTGAGGATATACTACGGCACTGCTAAGCATGTTTTTGACAGAAGAAATAGAATCTGAAGATATCACTTTTTCGATAATCCCTGGCTCGAGAGCAGCGGTTCATCGAAAATTTTGATATCCTTACATTTCCCTTATTTCTACTATAGACATGTTAAGCAGAACCATATTATATCCTCAGCACAAATTCAGAACATTTTCATTGTATTTGTTGGAAGATAAATGACTTTGAAAATAAGAGGTGATCCCCTGGGGATCCCCGGGGGATCACATAAACTTGTGAAAATCTAAGCTTGTATGGCAATAACCTGGCATGCATAATGCGCAGATATGAGGGTAAGAGAACCTTCATATCACAGATAAAGAAGAAAGACGAAAGATATACAGATTAGCGAAATATGACGCTTCCCCTCTCAGCTCCCCTCCCCGCGGGGTATACGTGCATACGGGCCTTAGTTCACTCGATTACTTTTGCATCAAAATTTCCTGGTCGCAGCTACTGCCGAACCTTGATCAATACCATAGTGTAGCTTACTGCTTATGTTTCATATTCAAAATACCTGAAATGAAAATTTGAACCAAACCTGCGAGTATCCGATCGAAATCACATTGTATTTTCTCCGATTTCTGTAGCGATTGTTTGGAAACCACACGATGGAACTGTCCTCAATGACATCGCCTTCTCGATATGTTCTCAAGGTGAAATTCTTGGGATCCACAACGCTAAGGTAGCCAGATGCAACAATTAGCATCTCCTGTAAAAGAAGCAAACAAATCCATTCTCGAGCTGGTGCACACATATGTCTGCGACTTCGAAGGTTGTTTAGCGCTACTTTTTGCGGCGATTCGTTGGTGATTTGTTGATTTATAAACTTGTTTACGGATTTCTATAGAAATGAAAGCCTATCATGTTCTAACCTTATTTTTTCATAATCATGTGAAGGCGGGCGGTGAAGTTCATTTTAATCTCAGGATCCCGAATGCGGTGAACTGAAGTGGAGATGTCTCAAGATGAGTCATTCATAAGGAAGGGGCAGGGTTCTCGCTTCAGTCTATGCTGGGGCCAAAACAGCATCTACCTTTCACCAGTGAACAGTGGACCGAGCTGAACAGGGAAAGCCAGCTAGTAATTCATAACTTGCTCTTATTCTCCTTCATAAACAAAGTGTGCAAACGAGTCATTTTTACAATTTTAGATACGGGGCGATTTTTAGACAAACGCTTGTTTCACCATCAGCCCTCGATCCTTTGATTTCCATCGCGCAGTTTGTTCGTCTAAACCTTGCCTGTCATAGAAAAAATTTGTAAAATTTCGCGCCTTGGGCACGACCGGGCTTTGATACGTTAGTCATGTAAAGGGCTTACAATCAAACATGTTTGAGGAGCATGTGGTGCATATGACCGTTTATCTATTTCGTTACCCTCATTTCCAAAAAAAAATTATGTTTTGGCATTTTCTACCCTTTTGCCGACCCCTGACTTTTTAAATCCACGGCTTGGCGTGTTCTCCCTCTCTGTGTAACAGAAGACTGGTCAGTTATACCTTATTCAGTTCCCCTCTGGCGCAGACTACATCGCCCGGACCATAGTCCCGCGGCTCCAGATAACCGGCCAAATCTCTCAGAAACGGCGTCTCACAGCTCTTGAAAGGGTTATGCAAAGTTAGGTATTAAAAAAAACTACGAACAATACCTCAAATAGCGGAGAAGTCGTCAAGGTCGTCCATTGCATGTATTTATTCACCTAAGTTAGAACATTTAGCCGATGAAAGGAAGATTCTTGTTTTTGAGTTACTTGGGTGTATAACTTTGGCGGCAACGTTTCTCGCATTTCTTCTTCCGTCATTTTCTCTTGTTTTGCCATTTCGTACTCGCAATATTTCAGCACACGGCGTTGGAAGGCAGCATGCAGATTTCTGAAGTATTGATTGTCATTCAACAACAAAAGAACTTTTCTTCCTATGTGGCTAAGTACAAACATCTGGTACGCACAAGTCGCATTCTAAGAAATGGAATACTCATTATCGCTCCGCAATGTAAAGTATTAGGTCGCCCGAAAGTATTTTCGCTTTTTTCAAAGAGTCGCCACGGTCCGCAGAACAAACATCCTTAGAAGATCTTGGAATCATTCGATGCAGTTTCTTATGCTCTTTCAAATGGTCATCTTTGCATTGCAGTTTAACAAATGAGCTTTTAGAAAATAACCAAAAACTGCGACCCACGCTTTTTACCAAGGTCAAGCTTCGCCATTTTTCTAAATTCTCGTACTGATTCTCCGAAGAAGCCCAAGTACCATGCGAGTACTCTGCGTTGATACCACTGCTTAACAATTTCCGCCCCTTCCAAATCTTACTTTACAAAATTTTTATAAATATTTTTTTGATGCTATCAAATTCTATATTTCGTCAACTTGAACCTCATAGAGCATCACTCGGGAAGCAACTCGGGTGTTATTTGATGCAGCACCTTCTCCTCTTTCAGAGACATGTTTTTTGCTTCTGATTCGTAAACTTTTAGAGGACAAAATCGACAAAATTCATGTTTTTGATGGCGCCCCAAGATGCACCCGAAAAATTTAAAATCTGATATTTCGAACCTGGAAACGCTCATTTGTCTTGTAAAACTAGTAATGAATCTTAATCTATCTTTAAGAGTATCAAAAACTGAGAATTTCTTAGAGTTTGACGAGTCTTCGTCTGGCATGGGTCTGCTAAAATTCGATAGTGTTGTTTGAAATTTTGTCAAAAAATTTTGGAGAGCTTTGGGAAGGAGAAAGAAATTGTTTTGTATCCTACTTGGTTTGCTCTATCCGCAGGTTACTTGGGCTTCTTCGAAGAATCAGTACAAGAATTTAAAAAAATAGCGAAACTTGACCTTGGTAAAAAGCGTGGGTCGCAGTTTTTGGTTATTTTTTAAGAGCTCATCTGCTATACTGCTATGCAAAGATGATCATTTGAAAGAGCATTAAAAACTGCATCGAATGCTTCCAAGACCTTTTCAAAGAAGTCTGTTATGCGGACCGTAGTGATTGTTTGAAAAAAGCGAAAATACTTTCAGGACGACCTAATATTTCAAAAATAGAATTGGATTAAAGTATTCGAACAAATTCAAAAGCTGATTCATGCGACTGTATACTGACTGTATAATCTGGGAGGTGACGTGTCGCACTTGCTTACAGCAAGGAGATGTACATTATTAAGGTCCATTCGAGACACTGATAACATATCGGCGTTCCAAATCCGCCGTATGTATGACGAAGTTACGGACAGGGTTGAGCGTGGGATCAGACGCGCCCGACCTGAGGGATCGTATTGAGGGTAAGACTGAGGGGGGGGGTCGTAATTAAGAATCGAATTTGTTAAGTTGGGGAGATACTGCAAAGGTGAAGAAGAGATGCGTTAGTCCGGTGGATATCGCGATCACATGAAGGAGTGACGGTCATAAACAGCATACTGATTGTTTCCACAATGGAAGTTTCAGCCAAAATTCAAATCTTCATCTCTTTTATCAAATCTTCATCTCTTTTACCTTGACATATGAGGTCGACAAGGAGGCTTGCTGTGTAAAATGGGTATCATTTCCATAATCAACATGTTAAATTACCTCTATGTGCTCTACAAACCATTACCTACTGCAGTTTCTAGTGTTTCTCAACGTCTAAAAAGCGTGATTTTTAAGCGTGATCAACTTGGTTGCAGAAGTGAGAAAAGTCAGCTTTGTATACTCATAACAAAGTAATGTTCTCTACAAGTCTATGCTACAATCAAGCTTCATATAGCTTTCAAACAGTGAAGTAAAAAGTGCTGTTAAAACTCTAACTGGCGCGTTTTTCACGTTGAGTGCTTCAACTCCTCGGATTAGCACAAGGCCGAAACAACTCGAATCAAGCTCAAACACTCACTGTGGAATCTTGAGCTAGCGAATCACATAAAACTTGGGTAGAAAAGCACTTTCGGAAATAAAGTTAATTGGGTCAGGCGCAACCCCTCAAAAGGTCAGGCCGCCTGAGCTTTTGAGGGGTTGCGCCTGACCCTCATAACTTGCCTTCAAAATCCAGAAATCGCCCCTTTTTTGATATGTGTATTGAGCGCAAAGCCTCTTCTTGCTATATTGAAAATTTGAAGCCAAACACTCCACCCCTGTGAAAGTTATAGCTCTGAAAAGAGGACTATCCAGATCTAAAACTTGCCGTCAAGTTGCGTGTGGTTGTGCAATCGCAGAAAGTCGGGCCTACAACTTTCAAAACATAGAAACCTGCAGTGAAGGCTGGTCTTCTTCAAAACATAACACACTGAGGACTTGGAGGTAAAGCGGAGAGTCGTTTAGGGGCTTTCACAGGAGGGAAGGGGGGTCGTTTTTGAAGGGCTTGTGCCTGATTTCTTGCTCAACCCTGGTTACGGATCCCTCTACAAGTTTTGCCCTGAAAGGCTAATACGAGTAATTACAGGATGGTCCACATGAAGTGTGACACAACAAGAAAATATTATAACTTTGCATGAACTGAATGAAATCAAAAGCTTTTGTCCTCACCAGATAGAGAAGAGAATTTTGTATAAGAACTTCTAGCTAAATTTTGAGATACTTGTCCTTAGTTGTTTTAAAGTCGTTTTTTTTTCTCCTTCAAACCTCTTCCGAAATTTCTTCGATTTGCGCGCGATGGTTTCTGCTCCCAAACTCTCACCGGATTTTTCCTCGGTAAATCAAATGACATAGGTGTCAAACGGCAGACTCTTTCCTTTCAGGCAGACAAAAAAGAGTGTTTGTAGGTTCAAGGATGAGCGAGCTAGAGGGCCAAATATCATTTTTTCCACTATTCAAACGATGGATTTTATACAGCTGCAATTTCTTCTTTTTGCTGTGGATTGGTGTCTAGTCGTGCTAAAAATTCCTAAAAGCGTCTGGAGTATTTTCCTTGATTCAATAAGGTGCCGCAGCCCTTCAAAGTTTGCTTTCGATGCTTTTTTCCAGGATCTCGGAAAATTGCGATTTTTATTGCCATGGCGACTGCTTTTGAAAAAACTTCCAGCTTGACAATGTGTTATCAAGAACCGAAGTCGGGAACAACCACAACGGGACAAAAGAATATGGAGAAGACGACTATCATCAAAACATGGAATGAAAAAGACTAAAAAATGAATTTTCCGCAGCCAGTCAAACATCATGTGGGCCACATATGAAAAAACACTGTTCGGCCTTTCCACTCGAACACTCTTGAACCCATGAATTTTCTTCCTAGCCTATCTGTGAGCAAAATGCCCGCTCTTCCAGATCCATTTCATTGGATTTGCTAGAAGGAGATCCTAGGACGAAGTTCCGTCAAAAACCATTGCGCGCATTTTGAAATCTCTCCAAGCACAATAAATTTTCATCGAAGCCAAAGGTGGAAATCCCAAAAGTAATCTACAATGTCCTATACGGAAATGTCTTGTTTATCAAATAAAAACAAAAGCTTTCACATTGAGTTCAAGCAAAGTTACGAAAGCTTTTGTGTGTCACATTCCATGTGGACCACCCTGTATGCATTATCATTGCAGCAGAAATGTATTATATTTCGAAAGCAATCGTAACGAAAACTATTGACATTCACTATTTAGGATAATTTAAGAAAAATTCCAAAGCTTTCCAAAAAACCCATAAACGACAAGTACCCACGGAATTTGAATCCATACCTATGGCCAAAAGCCAATTGCTCGCTATCAGCGTTATCAGCGTTTATATCAATGATACATCATTATTTTTACTGAGGCAGAGCAAGAGCTGTAGATCCAGGAATCCGTAACTTCTTACAGAGCTGTTTCGCAGACTAGGAAAGCGAATATATTAGTAGTGTCTTAAAGAGACCAATGTTGTCATGTTCTAGCTATGCCAGTGCGATCCTTTACTCTTAGAACTTCTACATTATATGACCCACTTGGCCACGTTTTGAATTTGACGCACTATGTATTTATAAATGCGGAAACGCATTTGATGATTACGAAAGGTTCTAATAGTTGTGCAGATTTAAAAGAAGAATCACTTAATTACCTTTAACACAACTTTTCGTTGGTAAAAGAAACGATTAGGCTAACGAATCTATTATGTTGCCAAGAAAATAATGTCGTTTTTCATTTGCTTGCTAAGGCACCGCAATCATAAACCCAAAAAATGCTTGAGGTAACTGTTTGGTGGATAAAAGCAAGCTCTAAAATCTACACTAGAAGAATCGCTTCCTTCCACCTAAAGTTCAAGCCATTATTTGAAGAGATTTAATGGATGAAAAACCGAGAATAATTCGTATCTCCGACTGAAGTCGTACAAGCTTCTGACTTGCTTAGGAATATACTCTATACATCTGACATTTATTTGTGAATTAGCTCATTTTTCTCATAGCTGGAACCGAGAAATAAAAAAAAAGTGCACCAGAACAGGTCAAAAGTGCAGCCCATGCATTTGAAAACTTCTAAATTTGGATTAGGACTTTATGTGGGACAAACAACAAGCTTGGGTGCTATCTCGTAAAGCTTGTCTCTATCGAGAAAGTACCCCTCAAGCATTATTGGGTTCGTCTGGTTGCTGTGCCTTAGCCCAATAGGTGGATCTGTAGCCTTCATCAATCAATCTCGAATTAAGCCTAATTTTCTGTTTTTGCGTTTGAAACAGTATGCATGTTTATCGTTCAAAATACCCAACCTGTAGGTCATAAATTGTTTCAGACCGTCCATTCTCTGCTGCCATTCTGCTTTCACTCTGTTTGCCTTTTCTACTAGATCACCAACGCTTCCCATGATGCCGGCAAATATAACCATACCAATTATAGTATCCAAGATTTCGAACACGGACTGTATCGTTTCATTGGGTGATGGCTGGAATGTGTGTTTATTTAATTGGGCGATAAAGCACAGAAGTATCGTAATATTTTGTGGCAGTAGATGTTACTTAATTTAGAGTGTGTTTTAAAAGTTAAAATTTTCGATTTTCTTGTTATGTGCACCATGTCCTGATAATACAAAACTTTCAAATTAATTAGAGAACTCTTTGTGTGAAAAATGCAGGTTTGGTGAAAAAGACAAAATTCCAGGGTATGGGTAAGAATGATCCAGGGCGAAAAATTTTGCGGCCTACCTGTTCTCCCAGCGTGGTCATCGTCAATGCCGACCAATACATAGACACTGTATAAGCCTTCGTGAATGTTGAAAAACTGATTTTGATGGTTCTGAATTAACAGGTTTTTTTACTCAATTCGATAAAGGTTAGTCTACCTGTTTTCCCAGTAATGGTACAAATCCATGAGGTGCGCCTCTCGTTCTTCATCAAGGTAAGCTTTCCGATAATCACAAGTTTGCTGAAATCTATGAATGAAGCTATAGAGGCTGACTTTTGCTATTAACGCTAGATTGTGTTAGGACTTTCCTCAATGCCAGAAAATAGGTTAAGATACCTCGAAATGTGAACAATCAGCAAAGTGGACATCAGTAATTTTTTCCGGCATGTAAGGCCATGGCCATCCATCGTCATCGTCAAATGTAGCATTCACTTCTAAACTCAACTCTTTTTCAGAAAAACGAGATCCAAATTCCACCGTAGCCTACAATCCGCTGCTAATCTTGAAGCGTTCTTTCTTGGAGACTCTGCAGATAAGAATTATTTTGAGTTAACTTTGCATGAACCTTGTTGACGCTTTTGGAGAACAATAAAACTAATCAAGAGTTGCTATGCATGGTGAATAATTGTTTATGGATAAATGCATAACGATTTCATAAATCTTTGCCGCTATAGTGTTGTATCGCAAGTGAGAGAGCAAACGGAGAATGACCATTGAACAAAATTAAAATTTGTGTTTGAGCGCGTTGTCACTTATAGTCTGTAAAAATGGAATCTAATGAAATTGTGACTAACCGTCCCACGATGTCGTATCACTGATAGTGCTTATGATGTAGAAAGCACAAGCATTCCAATGAAAAATCAAGGCACAACTGATAATTATTTTCATCAAAGAAATAAATGCCTGGGTAAGAAAAATTTGCGATTGCGTAATAAATATGAATCTTTTTCTTTGGTCTTACCTGCGTCAGCCTCCCTTGAGCTAGATCAAAATTTTCAAGTAAGCGATAACATTTCAATAAGCGATTCAACCTAAACCAAAATTCTAGTTTGACCTCCAACTTTGAAATTTTGCCCTTGCCATAAATTTGTAGGCTTGTTACCCGAGAATAGTTTTGAGCGTTTACAAAAATACGGCTATGGTAGGATAAATCAATTTTTCCTTCATCCTCATTTCGAACTCACCTCAAAACAGAAGCATCGTACTGAATATATAAAAAGAGGTCAGTAGGCAGAAGTGAAAGAACATCTATCATGAAGCGACTGCTGTAAAAGCAAATGAATAGAAACAGTTAAGATAATGCGACGATAAAGCAAGTGAAGGATGGACCTGGATAAATAATGACTTCGGGTTTCAGCCATTTCTGTAACTTTACATCCATGTTCATAGAACACTGAAAGTAGATTTTAGGGGTGAATTATACAACAAAAAGGTGTGTGAGATTACCAAAACTATTTTGATTACGAGGGTCGAAGTGCACGAGTAATTGATATTATAAAAAAAAATTGGCTGCACGTCATAAAGTTAGTGACTTTTGTTCGGACAGAATAGAGTGGAAAATCAAAGTAAAATTGATATTCCGAATTTTTCAGTAGTAGAATATATCTTTCTAAGAAGTGGCAAGCTTACTGAGTCGTGATTGAAACCACATATCGATAATATAAATAACATCACAGATTATATTTCCCGTAATCCAATGAGAATAGAATCCATTCCGAATGTCTTCGAAAACAAGCATAGTTATAAATATGAGATTATAGAAGCAAGCCGATGAGACAATGCATGACCAGTACCAGTAAACTGAGCCTTTCGGATTAACGCTAATGTCATATCTGAAAGCTTTTCTATGAAAGACTGCTATAATTCAAGACTTTTCTTCGAACAGCTTACTCTACAGTTGGATGAAGTGCTTTCCATTTGATGAATTGATTTTCTATATCAAATTCACTGAACGGAGTGATGCTCTTGCGTGGAGCTCTTCCCTAAAGTGTTTGTGTCGATGAAGGTAAGCTAGGAAAAGAGAACATGACATGAATGTCCAATGGAAATGATAAGTGGGAGTTACTTTTTTAATCTCAATTGTAGCTCGTCCACTTACAAGTGACTGCTTATTCATTTTATTCTCAATAGACTCAAAAGAAAGTTGCATTTTTCATTAAAAAGCTCCTATGTCTGTATCCAAGAAGATAAAGAATGAATGACATAACTTCGAAACGAATTTTTTACAAAAAAAATGTTTGTGAATTTTCTGCTCCCTAATAAGGTGAGTTAAATCGACTTAAAGAAGCAAGGGTAAAGGAAAGCTGAAACTATTCCATATAGATTTTGTGTGAAAAATGTAGACTGCTCCAAATGTAAATTGTTCTGCAAAGATTTGATGGGGTACGATGGTGGCAGATACCAAGCTGTGTATTCCTTTGGGAGGAAAGCAATGGTATGTAAATATACACTTAAACATGGTACATCCCCAGAATTGTTCCCATATGGGTCATCAACGTGGTCGTCTTCGATCATTTCAACATGTCAACTTCGAATAAGCGCCTTACGTTTGCTGGAGTCAACGTGCTGAAACATCGAAAGGCAGCCTTGATGGTTCATATGGGAACAATTCTGGGGATGTACGATACACCATCTACCCTTTAAACATCCAGACAAGCAACGAACAAGCTTTCAAACAACTGACTGCTCGAACACGATCTTGCGCTTCAAAACCGAGTTTCTATGCACAAACTAATGCTTACATATTTAGGCTGCGAACTGCGAACTCGAACTAAGCGCTGTGCTGGAACTGCTTACGAACTTCGGGATCAGTATGAACGCAGTCTTACAGCGCACAGGTAGCGATAAGACAGTAAATTAGGTAGCTAACGATTGAGTGCTGACCGAATTAACTTCGAAAATTTGTGAGAAAATTATGTAACTGAAGCATGTGGCAAGCTTTTCATCAAAACTTTTCCACGAATAAAAAAAAAAGTGCACCAGAACAGGTCAAAAGTGCAGCCCATGCATTTGAAAACTTCTAAATTTGGATTTACAAAGTAGGAAATCTCGAAAACCTATGTGAATGAAAAGCTTGCTCAATCTCTTACAAGTTAGGGTGACAATTGCATGCCATCCTAAAAGCGGAGGACTTTCAGTTCACATAATATTTCATACTTCTGAACAGGTGTGTCCCACACCAGTTTATTAGTAGTAACAGCTCTCCTCTTTGTTAGGATCCGAGATGGCAACGTGAAAGAAAGTGCGCTCTATTTGAACGCAGCTGGCGCGATCGAGTGAGAAGTTGTAAAGCTCGAAAGGACAAAGGCAAATTCGTTTTTCAGGTGTCCATTTCGCACATTCGTGACGGGCCCTGATGTTGGTCAATCAAGAGAATTGGCTGGCACGTTCTAGTAGTAATGCTAAACAAATTCAAATGTTCTAGAAAGCTGTAAGCAGCGAGATGCTATGATAAGAATAGAATTGTGACAGTGGAATTATTTGAAAATTTTTTCAAATTGGACCCTAATAGAAAGATCCAAATAGTTACAAAGTGGACTCTGATCAGAAAAGTCTCCATCAAATTTACTATAAAAAATTGGGTATCAAAGCTCAGGCAAGAATAGTATATCTGATGAACATCTTAAAATCTAAATAATAATCTAATCTAAATACTGTGCAAGGCTGGACTCAGTTGTGATTTGTGTCCTTGGCAATAATTGTTCCAATTTGAAAAAAAGTGTATGTTTGAACCAAAATCTTAACATTACATGATTTACGAGTAAAGAATGATGTGATTGATTATTGGACTGTTTATGGTCTTCAAGGCTGAAATGATTTATAGTAGATCTGCTGAATTCATGATAGATAAACGGCAAGATTTACGATCGATGCAACCAAATAAATAATTATGTAGATGATTTAGCACCTAATCTGTTTTGATTTTTAGATTTTTGAAAAAAGGACCGTGAATCACACAAGAAAGCAAAAACTTTCTCTAAAAGACGACATGAAATAGAGGAAGCCAAACAACTATAATGAAAAGGATTTTCAGAGAAGCCGTTGAAGAAAACCTACCCCGGCGGTTTCCAAAAGTCTAGCAGCGCTAGTCATTTTGTTGAGAGTATTCTGAGCAGTGATACACACGACGTAATGACATCCGAAGTGGGTCAGAAGAAAATTCGGATGAGCCGTCAATGACGGCTGGTTTCCATGGTGAGCTAGGATAAGTTCATGATAATCGCATATGCAGACGCCTTACTGTTTCTACCTTGACGCAGCTCTAAATTTGTTTTCAAGCTGTCTTGACATCGACATCATTTATCGTAGAAATAACAGAGAATAGATACATTCAGAGCACGGGAAAGTGGCTGAGCAATTTTGCGGAGGTTAGAACACATCAAAACTTTCCGTCCAAAGTCTACATAGGGTATTAATGCGTGTAATTTTCAAAATCGTTGTAATGCAAAGCATGTCGCTAAGTCTGATACCATCACATTCAAAATCGCTTATTGGTATCAGGGCTTCAAGTCACAAGGTATAACACTAAGAATTAGCACACAACTTATTTTTGTGACAAGCCGAGTAAGCTCTTCTTCCCAATAGAATCAAAAAGCTTCAAGTTCTTTCACAATCCGTAAACAAAGATTGAGTAAGTTGGTGCAGTGCACACCCAGGAGATGTGCGATCTTGGTCTACAAAGAGGTATTCAAAAGATTAGTAAAGAGGAGCAGCGGGTACAGCCAGAATAAGCGACAAGGCTAATGGTATCGAAGACATTTGCGTAGCAACTTCATTATAGTTTATCTGAAATAAAGCTGTATAAACGTAGAAGGAAGGTGGTTCGTTGTTTTAGATTTCACTTTTGTGCCTAGTTTCAAAGCATACCTCTTTTGTTGCCGATTTATCTCCAATTAACACTTCAATTGTAGACAAGTGGGATCAACTTAAGTTGGCATGAACCCAAAAAAAGCATTATTTAGAGGAACCTCCTTCACCATGTCTCCCCCTGCGTCATAAAAGCAAACAAGTATCACTAATGTTATTTGTTCAGTAATGTTTAGTAAAACTCTTAATGTTTAGTGAAACTCTTAAATCAGTGCCAGCGCTGCCATAGAAAACAAGTGCCCAAAATTACTGTAAGAAACATAATGAAGTTAATGTGGAGAGATACGAAGAGTATGTAAAGGATGCAGATGTCCTTACGCAGTTATCGCAACCACTGTGCCGACTTTGTCGGCACCTTCCTTGCAACCATATCATTACTTCTGCCTCACCGTAAAGGTCATGCCATAAGCATTAACTGCTGTGATATGAGTATGCTCTTGCCAAGATGTTTGTGATGTTATTTTGACACGCCTATCATAATCAGCATTCTACCACTGCACTCATACGTGCACGTCGTCTGCTCATAAATTTACTACACATGCGTTCTGTATAACACAGGAGTCAAATACTCCCAATTAGGCGCTATATCGCCTCAGGCCAAAATAAGGCCTACGAACCACCGGTACATTTGGTGCATCGGCCAAATACGAAGGCCGACACAGTGCTTCGCTACAACAGCAGCACAAAGGGATTCAACTCATAAGAAGCTGTTTCCCAGCCTCTACAAACAGATTAGAAGGCAAACCTACGCCTACAGACAGGTACCTACAGGTAAGAAGACAATACTTCCAGATGACGACGATCTACGGCGAAGGATATGCGCCTACAATTTGCGCCAATATGCGCGAATTCTCAGAGAAGTCGATGTCGCCGCACAGTCACTACAAATGAGGACTGACGTGCTAGAGAAACTTTACCAAAGCGAGAAATCTATCGCGGTAAGGAAGGTGATGACAGTGGAAATGGAGGAGCTCGATAAAGAGATAAGATTTTGTAACCATTAATGATACAAAAATGTTTGTCTTCGACGTACAATGCCGCATGGCAGAATTTGAGGTGGAGGTGGAATACATAGAACGCAGAAAGAATTTTCCCTCAATAAGATGTGAAAGTAGCTATGAGCAACTGCCCAGAGATCAATCGGACAACAGTTCACCAAAACCAGGCGATTCTGTCTCAGTCGGTAAGCCAACGATGAACGAGAAGCAAAGAAGAGGCTAACACTGAATCCAGAACAGCCGTTTCAAACCTCAGTGAGGATAGCTTTGACTATGCGACAGAAACAGAAGCGAAAAATCCATCGCAGATAAAGTCAGAGGAAACAATAAAAGGAAGCAAAACGTCGAGTAATACTGCTGATCCATACAATAACAAGATCCTCTCCGCTCATAACGAGGCGCCTCTGCAGGTCACGACGCTTCCGGCATTGCCCAAGAGAATATCTCGGAACTCGAGTTTTTATCACCGTGCCATTTTGAATGTAATCACAGCAATTTCATCGCCTGCTCATTCCAATCATCTGGCTCCTGTCGTCGCCACGTCCGCTCACATTTCGCGGATCTCAACACAGTCAAAGAGGTGCACGTCGCTCATGGACGCCCATTACGATAGCTTGACAAAAACTGCATTTCTATACTTGCTCAATTGCATCTGCTCATTTGCTCAATCGCTGTCTCTCATTCATTCCTCGCTGGCCGGAGTGTGCCGACTTTGTTGGCACCTTCCTTGCAACCATATCATTACTTCTGCCTGAGCAACGTAAAGGTCATGAAATAAGCATGACCTGCTGTGATATGAGTATGCTATTGCCCAGATGTTTGTGATGTTACTTTGACACGCCTATCATACTCAGCATGCTACCATTGCACTCATACGTGCACGTCGTCTGTTCATAAATTTACTACACATGTGTTCTGTATAACACAGGAGCCAAATACTCGCAATTAGGCGCTATATCGCCTCAGGCCTACGAAAGGGCCGAAAATAAGGCCTACAAACCACCGGTATAACCACTCTTAGCTACTAGTAGAAAATGCATTCTCTTATAACCAAAGATGAGTCTTTCAATGAGAACTAGCTTTAGAATGAAGACATGTCCTAGGATGTAAACTCGATATGTAAATTGGGAAGACTGTCAACCAATGAACAGAAAAATTACCTCACTACTCAGATTTTATACGCAGTCCCTTTCGGAAGCGATTTTGAGGATTGCGCAATGAATAGAAAATGTTCGAGAAAGCACATATGTACGATCAAAGAACTCGCACACTTCTTTGTGCATGT